GATTGTTTGTTAATTCAGTTAATGAACAAGTGATTTTTTTGTGATTTTCATAATTTTCATTAAATATGCAGTTATTATTACTACTAGTTTATCTATCTATATCTATTTATTAAAAATGCGCGCAAAAAATTAATTAACTGCACATTAATGTACTTGGTTGCATTTTAAAGCAGTTACAACTAAATATATTTGTATATCTAACGATGAACATAACTAATACGTAATCACCGACTTTGTATGGGGTGTGTGTACTAGACCCGGCAATATCCTCAGAAATTACTAATGGACTTACCACATGGTTTTAGAAAAAGTTTCTGTAATAAAGTTGCTTTGTAGTAGGGCATGAGCTGGTCTCATTTCGGTTTCACATTCAGAGTCGGTTTAAACATCCTGGACCGTTGTCCATTCTTTGTACTTTATAACTCCTGGATTGAAATAATGACATTCGTCATTACAACATCAGCTGCACATTTTCATTACAGGCTTCGGTGATCCCAATGAGTATTTTACCCTAACTTGATGTATTTTGGGGGTACTACTGCAACTTTTTAATTTAGCAGCGCGTCAATAGCAAACATTGTCATTTTGGAACTTCTTTGTTGTATGATACCTTTGAAAGATTTCCGAACTATAATATCACCTCCTGCAGCAACCACAGTATCTGCAGTTCTTTTGCATGTAGCGCCAACCCCATTAGCACCACTTTTGCCATGACCACTCCCTGAATTGTTTAAGGAAAACTTTCCTCGGCATGAAACCTCTACATGTAGCATTGATGCTAAAATATAAAACATAGTGTTACCTTCGGTACTGCGTAAATGGCCCACCGCTTACATCATAAATGTGGGTTATTTGCGGTGGGAAAGTTTTCAAAATTAACCTCAATTGTACCCATACATCAGCTGTATTTTGAGAAACAGAACAATAGGATTTTGTAAAATCTTTGATGTAAACTACTACAGTGTGAAGACTAGACCCACCAAAATCATATGCCTGAATCTCTTCACTGTACTTGCTACAGTAATTTTTTGAAAAGTCCATGTGAATTATGGTGTACGAGTCGTTTGCAAGTCCTTGACAGCTGTGTTAGGTGAACTATGTTTCTTTCGTGTTCAAAATACGTATCTACATCCTCTTGTAAATCTTATATCAGTTTGCAGAGACGAACCATGAAACTTCTCTTTCAATATTTCGTAACAGTTTAGATTTTTAGACATAGGATTATTTGGATTTTATTGTTCTGCTACCCATTTTTTCTTAAGTTAATATTTAAATAATAAAAAAAATAATCATTATTCATTAAGATTAAACTGTGTATATAGTGATATGAGTTTATTCACCAATGTTTTGTCTCGATGACGTTCAATGTGTATTTTTAATGAAATTTGGCTCCCGAATTCCACCGATAGGAAGTAACTAATTAAAACTAATACCATACATTAACCATAAAAGCATTGACAAGGTTTAAGCAATAATAATGTCTGTTACATATTGATCTAAAATTTTATAGATTTTGAATGAGTTAATTTTATTTAATTCATCGTCCTAATTTGTATTTGTACTGAATGGACACAGAATTTTACATTTTAGCATATTAGTTTATTCTTTTTCACAGAGAATTAAAAAGAAAAGTGATGTATTTCTTAGTTTGGTATTGTTTGTTAATCTGTTAGGATTGTTTTAAGTAGATTAGATTGTTTATGATGTTTACGTTTATAGTGCAGGGGGGAGCCTGTAGGAGTTCTTTTTTTTGACCATGTACGCTTATTTAAGTGTTTAAGAATTGTCACGTTTTTCAGTAGATACAGTTTTGTTATGTAAGGTGCTACATGCCTAACGATATGTAAAGCGGGAAAAAATGATACCCAAGCGTTCTTGGTTATCATTCGAGCCGACTATTTGACGCATTACGTTTGTGTCCAAATACAAATTAATCGAAAACAACACTTTTAATATTTAGAGGCCAGAAGAGCAGATAACCCTGACCAGTGCTTGCTATTCAATCTCGATCTTTGTTCCTTTTTTTTGATTAAAAGCATCTTCAATTGCGAGAGTTTCTTTAGTTTTGTTTTGCTAATGTTCAGTGTTCCATCGAAGTATCTAATCCTTTCCATGATAACGAGTAGTGGATTTTAATAAACCGACCTAATTTACTTCACATTTACTAACAAAATTGTTGCGTCTTTGTATTGTTATTGAAAATCAATTATGATTCCTAAACTACTTATAGATGTGGTGACCTCCACGGGGAGTATGATCGTTGTCTCCAATCGACTTCCGTTTGTACTCAAAAGGAACGAAGAAGGAAAATTGGAAAGGACAGCTAGGTAAGTTGCATTTTTATACATCTACGAGAATACCTAATATGTGGTAACAAAGTTGGACATACAGGTATTCTCTTTAAATTATTTAAAATACTATTTGTATGTTGAATTAAAAATTATAAAAACTCAGTAGGTTTTACCATTGACGATTATTAGGTGTTGGTTTTGGGAATAAAACAATGCAATAGGTATCTATGGGTCCTGTTAGGGATCACAATTTTTACCAATGGGTGGGTACTAAAACAAATATTAAAGATAAAGAAGTGAATCTGTTGGAAAATTGTCTTTGACTGGACAGCAGGAGTTAAGTAAGTGTAACTATCTAACAACAACTAAGAAGTGCACTTGCAAGTCATCAGGATTACTTTGTAATTGTAAATGTAAAAAATAAGCAAAACGCTTTATTGTTACTTTTAGTAAAAGATTTTTAATAATATCTACCAAATGATAGGAACGCAGGTATTATATTTTGTGAAAAAGAAATTTTAGTTTTGTTTATTTCACTATTATTACGTCTCAAAAAGCGTTTTAAAAATGTTTTAAAATTATTTAGGTAACATGACTAATTGTTATGTTTAATAAATAATTTTTAATTTAATGTATCAGACTATTGTATTCCCAAAATCAATATTTACCAATCATCATTAGTAAAGTTCAGTAGGTATGTACCAAACTAAAGATAAAAATTCGAAAAATCACCTCATTTTATATCAATACTTGCATTTCCAAATCATCTTGGTAAATCTTGATATACTAAGTACGATTTATACATGCAAAGATAGATTTGTAGGGTGAAATATAATGCGATTGTTTGTTAATTCAGTTAATGAACAAGTGATTTTTTTGTGATTTTCATAATTTTCATTAAATATGCAGTTATTATTACTACTAGTTTATCTATCTATATCTATTTATTAAAAATGCGCGCAAAAAATTAATTAACTGCACATTAATGTACTTGGTTGCATTTTAAAGCAGTTACAACTAAATATATTTGTATATCTAACGATGAACATAACTAATACGTAATCACCGACTTTGTATGGGGTGTGTGTACTAGACCCGGCAATATCCTCAGAAATTACTAATGGACTTACCACATGGTTTTAGAAAAAGTTTCTGTAATAAAGTTGCTTTGTAGTAGGGCATGAGCTGGTCTCATTTCGGTTTCACATTCAGAGTCGGTTTAAACATCCTGGACCGTTGTCCATTCTTTGTACTTTATAACTCCTGGATTGAAATAATGACATTCGTCATTACAACATCAGCTGCACATTTTCATTACAGGCTTCGGTGATCCCAATGAGTATTTTACCCTAACTTGATGTATTTTGGGGGTACTACTGCAACTTTTTAATTTAGCAGCGCGTCAATAGCAAACATTGTCATTTTGGAACTTCTTTGTTGTATGATACCTTTGAAAGATTTCCGAACTATAATATCACCTCCTGCAGCAACCACAGTATCTGCAGTTCTTTTGCATGTAGCGCCAACCCCATTAGCACCACTTTTGCCATGACCACTCCCTGAATTGTTTAAGGAAAACTTTCCTCGGCATGAAACCTCTACATGTAGCATTGATGCTAAAATATAAAACATAGTGTTACCTTCGGTACTGCGTAAATGGCCCACCGCTTACATCATAAATGTGGGTTATTTGCGGTGGGAAAGTTTTCAAAATTAACCTCAATTGTACCCATACATCAGCTGTATTTTGAGAAACAGAACAATAGGATTTTGTAAAATCTTTGATGTAAACTACTACAGTGTGAAGACTAGACCCACCAAAATCATATGCCTGAATCTCTTCACTGTACTTGCTACAGTAATTTTTTGAAAAGTCCATGTGAATTATGGTGTACGAGTCGTTTGCAAGTCCTTGACAGCTGTGTTAGGTGAACTATGTTTCTTTCGTGTTCAAAATACGTATCTACATCCTCTTGTAAATCTTATATCAGTTTGCAGAGACGAACCATGAAACTTCTCTTTCAATATTTCGTAACAGTTTAGATTTTTAGACATAGGATTATTTGGATTTTATTGTTCTGCTACCCATTTTTTCTTACTCATCAAACTCTCTGTAATCGGGATTCTTGTCGTCACACCGCTGGCATTCCCGAGACAAATTCCGCTCGTCATAACGATTGCAACAACAATGTTCTAGTAATTTATTGTAATTATCGTAACGCAAAAATTTTCCATTATACAATGAAGACAATTTCAAATTAAATATTAGCATGCTTTATGCAGAGGTCATGGATCTGGTTCGTTTATATTTGGTAAACGACGAATGTCTGGTAACTTATTGCAAAGTGATTAGCTTTGAATTTTTTATATACTTAAGTTGGAGATTGAATCCAACATATATCGTTTTTCTTTTTTCACTACTTTTCTGGTGACACATTCACGTTTGCCAGTATCAGTTCCACTGTTCTCATTTTCATAAAAATTTTGCAGTATCTCCATAACTATGGGTGAAATTCTATCTAGACAGGTCATTTTGTAGGTAACAAAAGTTATTTAGCTCTCCGATTTCTGAATCTCTTATAAGATATATTATTATGTTTGCTTTTTCATTAATTGTATTTCTTTACTATTTTACGTACCAAATACAAAGTAAATTCTTTCTTCTCTTCTCTTTCGATTGTTCATTCAATACTTTATTGACTTCTTTGCAAATCGCTGGAGTATCACACATTCCTTCTAGTTTTGTATTCGGTGCTCGACATTTTTATTCCTATTAGATTTTTTCAACCGCTGTAACTACACTCTTTTAGTTTCTTTGTGTACTACTGAATCTTTAGACCTTCCTCTCTTATCATTTTTTTGCGCGTCTTTCATTCAGATTTGTTTAACTGATGTGGGAATACTCTGAATCTGGCGTATCCCATGTAGGAAAGTACGATTGGGTTAAGTACGGGCCAAAGTTGGCTTGCCAGTCATAAGCTCTGAGACAAAGTTGAATTACAATTTTGGACCAGATACGATTGAACTAGCGAATGATAACATCGAGTCTGGCTTGGCATTCAACCCTTGGCCAACAATGAATCCCAAAGATGTGCCAGAGTTAGCCTAGTGACAGCCAGCCTTATGCCAAAGTCAAAATCAGTGGTGACCCAGGCAATAAAATTGGCTAGTAAACTATATATGAAGAATTATTTTAAATAACCAAAACTTATTGAAGGTTGGAATTAAGAGAATAGTTGTTTATTACGAATTATAAAAAGACAATTACAACTATGTAATTCCATGAATATCTATAATAATTCATCTTTATTTCTCGACTGATGGCTTCGAACGTCCGCCGTCACGATCTGGAGTTCCAGAGAGATTAACAAATAGATTATTANAGACCAAGACTGGGAGCGCAAGACCAAGACCAAGACCAAGACCAGGTGTATTGGCGCAAGACCAAGACCAAGACTGGCTAAGTCTCGTCTTGTTCTTGCGTTTGGGCAACACTAGACAGAACATAGACCAACTTTTACCTGCTGTCTTAACAGCGCGTTTTAGAAAATACCACAAATGACGCGGTAAACGCCATCTGCAGTAGGATGCTACATTTTAGGATTACATATGCTCCAACAAGGTCCATTTAAATATATGGATATCTACTTGCTGAAACGAATACCGGCGTAGCTAACCTCAACGTGTTAGGCACGTTACCATAATCGAATAAAATAATTCGAATTTTTACAGGCATTTATATCAACACTTAGATATTTTATCATGCACATTACAGAAAAGTATATTACATAAGAACTACATCACTTAACCAACACATTTTATAGGTAGAGTAGGTTAAGAAAAACACCATTTTTATTACCCTTTCATCTGCTATATTTGGTTCGCATTTAAGATGTACTCCTCGAAAGTACTTTTCCCACGCATCAAATTAAAGGCAACATCTTACATTCACTACAGAAGAGTGCGGGACAAACTTGAACCATAATAAGAACACATGTCTTTTGTGGGAAAAAGTTGGAGTTCTTGGAGACGAACATTCGTTTCGTGAATATCGTATCTACATCAGGTATCAATGAAAAGTACATGTGTTTATATATGGAAAAAGCTTTGAAAATGTCACTGTCACGTTGCTAAAAATATGGGGATGTTCGGAATTTGAAACGAAGCCACTTGTCATTTACGGATCTAGTATTTACAAGTTGTTATCGTGTTCATGTTGATTATGCATTTTTTCGTCGATAATGACAATGCACAATCGATGAGCATATGTTATGGTAAACTAACACGTTGGAGTCATGACGAAGCGAAACGAATAGTTCCACAGACAACCGTGACGCGATAAAGTGTCTCGGTCTGTTCCACGGTTATTGGAGTTGATAGTTTAACTAATTTGGACGGCATTTGTAAGTACATGCTTCTTTTGTGTCGTTTTAATAACAATCGTCGTCACCAGTCTTTATTTACTAAAATAATATGAATAAGTGAAGTAAAATCGACAGATGAAGGTTGCGTTCGACCTTTGAGCTCTGAAAGATACAAAGATACTTAAGAGCCTGAAGAAGGTATATTTACATGATACAGCATTGTGAATGAGTAAAATATTGGTATAATGTATCCAGGCGCAGATCCAGCTCTGAAAAAAGCTTATGGTCACAGCAATCCGAAAATCGGCCAAGTATAAACATGCAAAAGAGATGTTTACACAATATATATATGCAGCCCTGACCAAGATTTTGTACAATTTTTTTTGCGGAAACATTGCTAATTTCATTGATATCCAGGTTCACATATTTGTGTATATTTAGCAGAGCTAGCCGTAATCATCATTCCTGTACCATTGAGGCACTCAACCAAGATTTTACTCTGTGATGAGTAGAAAACGATCTCTTTGAGGTAGCTACGCTGATAGGGAGAATTGCCAGTATTTGTAAGAAAATTTTTATGTTAGGGTACAAATGTTGATTGCATGCTTCACTGAGATGACCTACCGTCTCTGGTATGGCAGAATTGTTTTCCAATACTAGTATTTATGTACA